AGTTTATGCGCGCGTGTAGTCAGCTGATCGTCGCGACGGTCCCGCGTACCGCCTGCCGGCGGACAGTAAGTTGCGCCGCCCCTGTCTACCATCCGTACGCGGCCCGTAATTTGCTAACTATTTCTCGTTATAATTTGAAAACTAAGCTTCGGACAAAATTTTTGTAAAGGAAAAATCGTCTTAGAATTGAGTCAAGAATACGTCTTTTCAAAGACGAAGGGTTGTTCTGAATCACCCTGTATAATAAATAAAATAAAGCAAATTATTTACTTTACCAATACAGAAAATCATTTTAAATTCTAATAAAAATTCTTCGATCTATGTTTATTATCTTAATAAAAATTTTTCTTAGAATTTCAATTTTTCAAAATTTTTTACAATTTTTATATAATTTCAAAACTTTTTAAAAAATTTGACAAAGTTTTATATTTTATACAAATAGAAATATTTTTCAAAAATGCTGAGAAAATCTACATTTAAAAAAATGTCTTTCTTATACAGAATCCTGTGATTCAGAATCCCATTTCCTTGAAAAATTATATTTGTGATTAAATTCTGAGATAATTTTTTCTCTTGCAAAATTTTATCCAAAGCTTAAGTTTTAAAATATAAAAGAAAATAGCTTATTACAAATAAGATAAGAAGAAATATAGATAAGGGCGACACATTTCACTGTTAGACGCGTGCCTGGAGAGTGCTTCTGCTATGATCAACTGATGGCAGCCTAATGATGAAATGCGCCGCCCGTGCCTACTTGTTATATTCGATCCTTAATAAGCTATATAATAATTTCCTTTAATAATATAAAAATTAAACTTTGGACAAAGAAAAGTCGTTTTAGAATTTATTATATTTAAGAATTATGTCTTTTTAAAGACATAAAGTTGTTTTGAATCACTCTATACATAATGTTATTTCTCAAACATTTTATAATTTTCAAGAAAATTTATAAAATATAAAGGAATTTGAGTTGACAGAAATGTTTGAGTTTGTTTAAAAGAATTTATTTTAAATATACTATAATTTAATTCATCAACAAGGCTCATTTGCCTTATTTTTGCTACTTCTTTAAAGGACCCCGCACAAAACCACGTGAAAATGGGTCCCAGCTAATGTAGCTGAATTTTTGATATTTTGTAGTTCTGATCGTCCTGATCAAAAGTCTCTATAGGCACAAAGTCCAAAAATGAGTAGTTTTTGAGTTAGTGTACATTAAATTCTGCCAAAATAGCTAATTCTGTATGCTTATTCGAAGGTCCCTTTTCGTGTTTGTTATTGATTGCGCATGTGTGTGTACAGTT